AGAAACACAAAACTAACCTTGCCAGATAATTGCTCATTGAAATCTGATGCTGTGCAACAAATGGAGGATTATTAGCAGCTGAGTCCTGTGTTCATCTGTTATATCATTATCTCCTATATGCTAGAATGACAGGACTATCATTGCATTGAAAACATGCACCTTTTCTTTGCATGTCAATTTTTGATGTGGGATTTTGAGAGGTCTGCTCCGTTTTTAAGAAGTTACCATGTTATCCTCCCAAGTGCTGCAGGGAGCTCGACAAACTTGGCCACATGTGGGTTGTACAGGTATCTGTTACACGCTGAATGAAAAACAACCATCATTCCATTTTCAGTTTGCTGTTTTTTTTTTTTCTTAAGCTCCTCTTCTTCTTCTTCTTTTTTTTTTTTAATGCAAACTAGTGTTAGTGTTTTAAATGCTTGCTAATCCAGCAGACATTGTGAGACTGTGGAGGTTCTCACACAGGGGAAAAGAAGTGTGTCATATAACATGAATGGTGAAAGGAATGCAGAACGTAGCAGTGAGGTATTTTTCTGATGATGTGACTAATTAAACCCTGAGCAACTTTGAAGAGAGATGCTACATTTCAGTCATTTGAACTTTTTCACTTAAGACGGGGCTTTTGATGAGTTGCAAGGTGTAACTTTAACAAAATAGCAGCCATTTACACTCTGAAGCTTCACTATGAGCTGTTTAAAACACCTGCTTATTTAGCTAAACCCTCTGCCTCAAATTCAGGCCTTGAATTTGAGCCAGTGTGCAGCTTTCACTCTCCCTGTGGCTTTAGCCATGAGGTTGTAGCATCACCATAAAGCATCAGCGTCTCTTTGATTAGGATGCTGTGAGTTGCCTCTTGGCCCTGAGCAGTAGCCACACTGAGACTCTGCAGATGATCCATGTGCACTTGGGATGCTTTTGCAGTTGTCTAAGCATATTCTTTACAAGGAGAGTGGTTAGGCCCTGGAACGGGCTGCCCAGGGAGGTTGTGGATGCCCCGTCCTTGGACGTGTTCAAGGCCAGGTTGGACGGGGTCCTGGGCAACCTGGTCTAAATGTGGATGTTTGGTGTCCCTGCTAGGCAGGGGGGTTGGAACTACCTGATCCTTGAGGTCCCTTCCAACCCGGGTGATTCTGTGATTCTGTGATTCTTTCCCAGAGCAATCTTTGTGCCTAGGATAATTCACTTCAACTCATGCTATTCAAAGTCTTACCCTGAAAGCTGCAGATGTCCCGGGAGACAGATTTTCATGCTGAACCTCTCCAGTTTAGTAATAAAAAGTTTGATGCCACTTCACTTAGTGACTGAAAAGCCAAATTATGTTTTCTGCCTCACAGTTGATAGTAAGAACATAGGTAACATTGCTATACTCAGTTTTCACTCTGTTTTCATAGTTTCCACCAAGAGTAGTCCGCCTATGCTACCGAAGTATTCAGTGGCAAGCATGAAAAATAAAAAACATGCAAACTTTCTACAACAAGTTTTTTTCAAAACATCAATTTGTTTCAAAAAATGCATCATTCACCTCTTAATTCGCATTTGAAAAAAAAAAAAAAGAAAGAAAAAAAAGCCAGCTGAAAAATTGCCTTCTTTCAAAAGCTGTTTACATCAAGGCTTCAGACTATGTATAATCTCATTTCTCCACTCTCATTTTTATCTGCTTTCTCTCCTTGAGCTGGAAAAATGCTGTCCTGACTGTATCTATTTCCTGTAGGAGCTATTAGTCAGTAGCATTACATCCGCTTCAGCGTGATCACTTTTCCAATCTGCATGTTACTGATACGCTATTATCATGTTATATTGCTCATCCATCAGAGTTTGCAGTGTTTTCTGTGCTGATTGCAGAATCGAGGCGAGGTGAAGCATTCTCTTTAAAATAATAATAATAATAAAAAACTTCAGAGATGCCAAAATATTCCAATAATTCCCTCTCTCTCTGTCTCTTCATCTCTCCTATCCACAGTAATGTACTCAAGTATGCCACAAAGCAAAAGGTTCTGATGGTGGATTTCGAGGTTATGACTTGAAATGTTTCTCTGCTTCTAACTCCTAACCAAAAGCACTTGAACCATCAGTTTTGACTGTAACCATTGGAGCTACCCCTTATTTAAGTGACATATTCAATAAAAGCTCCATCTGGTTTCCATAGGAATCTTGCACAAATTCTTGGAAATCGATTTTTGTCAGGACATAAGGCACTTTGACCAAGATTAGAATCTCTTTTTCCTGCAGTGTACCTGCCAGATGGCAAGTTTATTGAATCTGGTTTTAACTTACTAGGGCTTAAAGGAATGAACATGATTCAGAGAAGTGGGTGCTACGTTTCTACTTCAAAGGTCTCCTTCAAAATCACACTCCAAAGATTGACACACAGAGTGTGGTTTCTACTTGGGCAGTCTGTTGCATACTTTTCATCCCTTCCAGTGCTTGAAATGAGATTAAAGAGTGACACAAAGCACTTTACAAAATCCCAGTAATTTCAACATCAGCAGCATGGGATGAATCTTGTTGCAATAACATGGCTAAGTCAAATTTATCCTTCTATTTTCTTAAAACCATCTAACTTTCTGCATTGACGTAAAGAGTTTTGATTTGAAGTACTTGTTTTCTGAGTGAAACATAAAAATGTTTAATATCCACTAAAGCCACAGGATGTGTCCCCTTCATCCTTCCTCACATTATAGCCTTTCACCTCAGTCTTAGAAATAAATAAATATTCCTCCATCCTTTTGTATAAACCTCACTTGCACATGTCACTGAGTTCAATCTATTTATTTATTAATTTATTTTCATTGAGCAATGAATAGCCATGAATTTCTGAACTTCTCGTGAGGAAGTTTTTACAATTCTAGAATCACAATCTTATAGAAAATACCTGAAGGAAATCTATTCATTTGCATTGGGGCTGGGTCTTCCCTTTGGATATCACCTCATACCTTTCATTAATGGACCTGTTTGTTAGGAATCCTGGTGGTGTGGTGTGGATTCCCCGTCCTTTCCTGCAGTTCCAAAAAGAGGCAGGCAGCAGGGCTGCAAAAAGATCTGAGATGCATTAAGAGCGCTCAGGAGTCTAATGCTAAAAGGTGGTAATGGGTCCAGAGTCAGAAGTAGTTGTTTTCTTCTCAATAAGGGGCTTCAGGAGCCACTGCTTAAATTGCTTTTCTAGAACTCCGAGAAAGGATTTGGTTGGCTTGCTTTTGAATTAATTACTCTGGAGCAAATTCACCTATTGCATTGTTTTACTACTTTATTCATGTACTGCAAAGCATCTGTAGAACAAGTAATAGGGTCCTGTAAATCACATAGATATAATTGCATCCAGGGATACTAATGATGTCATGAAGCACTGCAAGGTACAGTAGTTTCTGTGGTGTTTCCAAAGGAAATAAGAGGTCTCTCATTTACAGTTTGTTTGTAATCCTCTCGATTCAGTAAAATAGCGTAAGAGTCTAATAATAATGTAAAATGAACAACACATCCTGTGGTATTTTGAAGATGTTTTGGCTTTATATCCACATTGTTATTGCTGTGCTACCATCAGTTTCATTTCTGCTTGACTTGCTTTTAGCTAAAATAGTCCTGTGTTTGTATCATATGGAAATGATTTGTTCAGCAGATGTATGAGTCTTTTATATGTCTTACTCCTTATCAAATCAGATTATACAATAAAAAAAACTCTGCAAAATGCTCTGCAAGTGTTCTGTTGCATAGGAGCAACCACAGGCTGTCAGTGCAGATGGAGGACAGTGTGGAGGACAGTGTGACAGTACTTTGGTGCATGCCAGTATCACTGTTCCAATACATTACAGGTGGGATGTCTTTGCAATTCATTCTAACCTCAGTTTGCCTGCACACCCAAACAAGATGTTAGTCTCTTTCAGCCAGCTGAAGTGGATACAGATGTTAGCCTGACTCTCATGATTCTAAAAATCCCACCCAAACCTTACTTATCTTCAAATGAAAAGCACTTTTGTAAATTTGGAGGCGTCGTTCTGTTTAATGGCCATTTTGCAATCCAGAGCTCTGTCAGGCTACTCAGTATTCCTGACAACTCAATCGATCTTTTTGCACCGTGATTTTAATGCTTATTTTTTAATGGCTGTTATCTCCATGTGTATCAGCCTTTCTACTGTGATCAACTTCGCAAGGAGTTGGAAGGGAGGCAAAGGAAAAGGGCAGAAAGGTCACTGCAAAGTATTGGGTGAAATGAGATTGTCTGCAAAAAAACAGACGTCAAGGTTCAGCTGAGACCTACTAAATGCAAATGCCTATAAATGTGATAGAGGAAAAAAACTGGAGAAGAACCAGTCAGTTCTATTCACTGTTTTAAAAATAGCTGTCTATTTCCTTCACCGCTTCAAATAAGTCAGTTCTGAGCTTTTCACTCTGGTATTTACAGCATTTCTATTACTTTCATATAAGTTTTCTTTAAACAACTCCCATTTTCTGTTCAGAAAGTATTATGTTGTCTTGCTCAGAAAGTTCTATGTAAGGAAGGTTTTATTATTCAAGGATAAGTTTGAGAAAACTGATAAATTTCTCTGTTTTCTGTCAGCAAAAAACATTTTCATTTCTAAACTGTGTGATTTCATCAAAAACTTTTCCCCTGTCTGAACGTTATCTGTGAAATAAAGGAAGAAGACCTGAGAGCTTCAGGTGTGGACTTCAGTAAAACCTGGCAAGCAGAGGTTTGTTAAGTGTTCAGCTTGAACTGGGCCATGCTTATAGCAGAGCAGTTTTACTTTCAAAAAATAGATGATTGTGCATCTTCAGTATAAACTATGGGCCAGGTCTTTGGTGGCTATGTCCCTGGCTTGAGAGAAGCAAAACTATACTGATTTATGCCAGATGATGATCTGCATTTTTCTCATCACTTTTATTGCTTCCTTAATCCTTACAAAATGAAGCCTTCGGTTCTTTGGAAGTGTGTCTCTTAAGAAAATGTCAGTGCAAAAATTTTTTGAACTGGGATGAACTCTCCTGCTATGTGCCTTCTTTTGCAGCTTCCTTTGGTCTGTACTTTCCCAGAAAGGAGTACTCAGAGAATGTCTACATTGACCAACCAGCAGGTACACCTCTCCTGCGCATCCACGCCTTGAGGGATTCCCATGGAGAATCAGCCCACTTTCATCTGTGCCAGAATCTCATCATTTCTCGAGCAAGATCCCATGAAAATCACTGGTTTCAAATCAGAGAAAAAATGGGACTTCTCTACCTCAGCAAGAGCCTAGATAGAGAAGACTTTAACATGCTGTGTAAGTACAAGAAGCTTTTCTAGTGGAAATTTCTGTTCTTAGAGTATCTTCAGATCATGAGATTTGTCCATCTGCATAAGCACTGAATTTGGGAAAAAAAAACAAACACCCAACACCTACTATTTTAAAATGAAGAACCAGACCCAACAAAACCTGCAGCAGATTCAAGGAGATGCATGCTGAAGCAAATGTTAATCTGAGACAGATTCAATTACTCTCACTATGACATTAAGATTTGCAGTTTATTCATCTACTGATGCAAACTGAGCCAATTGCGCAGTGTCAATATTGGATGCTTTGTGACTACACAGATGCAGTTAGATTACTTCAAACTCTCACATAAACAGGCCTCAAACTCTGGCAATGTGGATTCATACGGATTTGCAAGTAACACCAGCGGTTCTTGGAAGAAGCGGTTGTGTACCTCTCTCAAAGAGATTTGGCTTTGTTAAGGAAGCTTACTTTTCAGCTACTGAAATGAGTTATCTCCATCAATAAAGTGGTCTTGGTGATTTTGATCCATGAGGAAATTATCATTTGATGATGGAGAAGGAAATGAATGAGATGCTAATGGCATACTGCTGTGATCAGTTGCAAAAATGCTGCTGTTGGTGAGCCTGTAGTAAGTGATGAGTTGGAGAGCCATATATCAGCACTACAGCACTACTCTTTGACTGAGGTGCCTTGATGTTTAAATGTTCAATTTCAGGCACTTACTGCTTCATGTGTTTACTGCTTAGTATCTCATCCTTATTCTCTGCATTTTTGATGCTCATAAATATCAGATTCCCATTTCTAACTGGGCAAGGGAAGAGCAGCTATCCACGACTTGAAAGTCTTGGGGCTTCTTGTTTTTTTCATATCGCAGTGACCTATGGAGCCTTTCCAAGTGAATTAGATCTGTCACAGAGATGCTATCATTTTGTCTGTAGTCAAATGCTGCTAATCAAAATAATTGAGTCTTGAGGGTGTATTAGCAGATGCCACAAGTTGATTTAAATGTCTCTGTTATCTTTTGGCCGGCTCTTTATATTTCAGAATGATGAAGCAGATTGTGCTCCAAACAATTTAGCCCACACCTTCAACTGGTAAACTGTCACAACGCTGTGATTTTAATGACAAAAGTTTTGGGTCTATTTGTTACTACTTTGTTCTCTTTCTCCCCACTGCAACCCTACTATGCTCTAGTCCCTTAAAACTACAACAACAAAAAACAGTCAAAAAGCTGATTCCTAGCAGTGACTTGTATATGCTAGTGTCTTGCATGCAAAACATTGGTATCATTTAGTGAGGTTCTGTAACTTAAAACTTGTGGTATGATACCTATGAGTTTTTAGCTTTCTGGGATTTCTAGGTTTAAGATTTAAGGTCTTCCAACCAGCAAATGATATATTCAAGAATTGTTGTTATCTAACAGAACTATGCAGGTGTTTGTGAAATAATGAACTAGAGCACAAAAGTGTATGAGAAATAGATTGTTTTCCATAAAACATTTTGTCTGGTGTGTTCTTTCTGAAGCTGTAGGAAACTGGATGCCATTATCAAAGGTGATGCTGTATGTCTTCCTCTCGTCCCACCCTTTCCAAGAGAAGGAATGTGACTCTGCTACTCGTACCACAGTTGTCCTCTCTTTGATCAATGCTACTGCACCGGCTTGCAGTTCAATGACAGCAAGGCAGCTTTGCTTCACAGAAATGGATCTCTCATTTCACATCAAGGAGAATAAACCTCCTGGTACATTTCATCAGCTCCAGCTACCCTCAGTTCATCATCTGTGTCAGAATCTCAGCATTACCTACAAACTGTTGGCAGGTAAAACTGGAACTGATTCACTTGGGACCCAGAAATAGATGTAAACAACTGCACTGTTAAGATCTCTTCTGTAGTAGATCCTCTAGATTGATTGTCTGAAGGAAATTCCGTTTCAAATGTGATCCGAGCCTGAATATTTTGCCTTTGAATTATACAGAAAGGACGGGAAGGAGGACTGTCTCCTTCCTAAGGGAAAGATGGGTTTTAGAAGTTTGTACCTGGGAAGAGAAGATTGTGGATATTCTGAGCTTTAAATTGTGCTTCATCTAGACAGCAGGAACTTCCACGTTTTCTGCCTACCCTAATACAGCTCCACAACTTGTTTTTCTATTTCACTTCCTGGTCTGCCTTTTGTTAGGCGGTCCTGATGTGTAAATGGAGTTACTGCAAAAGAATATTAAAGAAGAAAAGTATCAGAATTCTGTAATGGGCAGTGATTGTCCCTATTTACATTGTGGCCATGTTTTCCAGCCGAAGGCCTGCCTTTTCGGTACAATGAGAACAGCACCGGTGTGAGTGTAACACAGCGCCTAGATCGAGAGGAGAGAGAGAGATACGAGCTGATCGCCAAATGCACCGTGAGAGAAGGCTTCAGGGAAATGGAGGTTGAGGTGCCCTTCCTCATCAATGTGTTAGATGAAGATGACTCTCCTCCCTTCCTTCCCAACGGCACTGACACTGCAGATGCTGTCGTGGAGTTCAACAGAAAAGAGGTAATGTTCTCCTTTATTTGGTCCCTGAAATCAGGAGCGCAGTGATTGTAGGCAGGGTCACTAACATCAAGGATGTTGGTTTAATGCCCTCCTCCTATTTATTCTTAACTGTGCCAAGGTGATCGTTCATGAGGTCTGAACCCCTGAATGTCTTCCTGAGTGCCTCCTGCACATGTATACCCATTGCTTCAGTAGAGAAGTGTACAAGTGGGCTCTTTGGCTCTTCCTACCTAATTGGGCAGTGGTATATATAAGAAACTTCTTTATGGGCCTAAATGATGCATATTTCATGAGAGGATTTTTAATCCATAACGGCAGCCTTGTTTTGCAGTCAGATTTCCATTCAGAGTATGTTTTGCTCATAGTTAAGTTTGAAAGAGAAAAGAATGATTTTAGGAGTTTGCTGCCACCTCCAGACTAGAACAAGCACTTACAAGATGCCCATGAATGTATGACGTTTGTCCGGTCATAAAGCAACTCCTGTTTGCTTTTGAGAACTTTAAGATTTGTGAGTATCACTTCTCTCTGGATGAGAAAAAGGGAAATTATCATTAAACTGTTTTAGAAAGTAGTATAGTATCTCTGAAATTATATGCCCAAAAAGTGTTCAGAATATACTTTTCACTGTCAATTTGCAGTGGAAAAAAAACATTATATTCAGAAACTTTCAATGTTTTCTATTAATTAAATAAGCCTTGAGCAACAGAATTGCTAATAAAAGTATTAAAAGCTATGTGGATTTGATGTCCAGGTAGAAAATACAATCTAGCAGATTAAACAGAAGACAGACAACTAATGCCATTTCTGTCATTTCAGGTACTAAGTTTGATGAGTGTGACTTTATTTCCTTGTCTTTTAATTGCATGTATTATTTGTCTGCTCTGTAAGTAGTACTGTAGAATGACATTGATTAAATATTAAATTAAATATGACATACTATTCTTGAAATTTATTTATAAACACAGATGTATATGTGAACTCACTTCCTACCTCAAATGTTTGGCATATAATAATAATATAATAATATATATTATTATATATATATTATAAAAATAATAAATTGTATTTTAGATGCAGACTAAAATAATTATATGGCAGTGTATTTTTCACCATTACCTTGGTGTCTGCTGTCTTTCCTTTGAGCCATCTAACACTTTCTTACCTCTACGTGAGCAGTTAAGGATTCTCTGGGACTGATGTCTATAGCACATGTTCTCATCAATTTTATTGCCACATGCTTATAAGACTAGGAGCGGTGAAGTACTGGAGTTGATGCACAAGCCAGAGCCCTTGCATTACCTGATACTCTCTCCCTCTCTAGCTGTAATGATCAAAGCAAAATCTAGTTGAAAAGAAGATTGCCAAGGTGTCACTTACAGTTATTTGTTTGTTGGTTGTGTTTGTGCCTTTTTTTTTTTTTTTTTTCCAGGAAGGTTGCCATTCTCTGCATCCTAAAATATTTGTTTGGAAAGATCTTTCATTAGTTAATTTAAAAAAAAAAAAAAAAAAAAAGAGCAAATGGATTGAGTACTCCTAGTTGCACAAGCTGGAAACAGTGCATCTTGAAGCTTGAATTAGTGCTCCTCACTAATTCACCCTAAAGCCTATCTTTGAACTGGATTAAGTGGAGATTGCTGTATCAAAAAAACTAACACTGAGACCAGATATGGTGTCCCTCCTTGAGCTCTGGAAGTAGCTATGAATACTAACCTGCTGTAATAAAATGTTTCTATGTATTTCCTGGAAGAAGAACGACATAAAAGTTAGAAATAGTGGTATCCTGAAGCTTAAAATGGATTTGAATGTAAGAATGAACCTGAGTGAAAGTTGTAAGGTTTTATATGACCAATTTTAATCTCCTAAATGTATGTCAAAGGAAGAAAACTTCAAGATCATTCAGCATGTCATTTCTGATTTCCTTCCAGGGAACTGTCCTTGCAACGCTAACTGTGTATGATGCAGACACCACACCCATTTATCCCCTTGAAAGCAGCAGAAAGAAATACACAGGAACAATAATTACTGACGATCCATGGATAAATGAAACATTTCGGGTGGAGCACATTTTTGAAGAAATCCACTTTAGCCCAAATGGCAGCCAAGTGAGGGGAACTCAACATGAATACAGTAAGATCTCTTTCTTTGAATAAAAAAGTTACTTGACAACTGCTATTTTAACTCTTCCAAGCATTTTGTAAATATTAAGCCAAAGAAAGCTGAGGGATTTTAAGTTAAGCAAAACAGCGAGCTTTAAACCTGTGCTGAAAAAAAATGATGCATCTCTGTGATAGAGAAAATATAGGACAAAGTTCATAGTACAGAGAAGCAAGAGGTTGTGATCATAGGCTTTTCAGCAGGGTCTGAAGGGAAGATCACCTCATCATACCTCTTCAAACCTCTTGAGTAGCACAGAGCATAAATCCATAGTAGCATATTTCTACCTGCTTTTGTTTCCTATTAGCAATAGCTTTGATGTTTTTAATTTGGGGAAGGAAGTACAATATCAAAAAACACATTCTGAAATAATGTGAGTCTGTAACAGACTGATCTTTTCTCTTGCAGAACTGGTACTGAATAAAAGTATTTCAGTCACAGAGCATCGTTCCTTCCAGTTGGATGTTTTGGTGAACGACACAGAATTTAATGGCCCAGAAAGATCAGTGATGCTTCATTTCAATGTCTCCATACTTCCTGTCAGCATTCAGTTTCCAAACACAACTTATCGCTTCACAGTAAACCGAAATGCTCAACGTTTTGCACAAGTAAGATCTGAGTTAATTATACCTCCACTCTGTTAGAAACCGAGCCAGTATATAGAGCACGGGAGTGAAATGTAGGTAATCTAAATTCTGTTTCTTGATTCTGACTCTAATTCATATGCACATGAAGTTTAGCTGTCTATGTTTCAAGGTACAGTCAGAAATTGCATATGAGATACGAAATACGAGTATTTCAAAACTGCTTCTTGTTTCTTTCTCATTGATTTGGCTACACTGGCATAATCGTAGCTATTTCACTCCTAATTGTTTATTTTTAGCAATTACATGCTCATTCCTATCTCCCTCTGTGGAACGCTTGAGCTTATTTCTACTTCTTTTTTTTCTTTTTTTCCTTATGTAAAGCTTTCAGGAATTCTTCCCTAGTTGGCACATAAATGTGTTCTCCCAATGGCATGTGGTTAAAGCATTGACTGTAGCTATTTTAAGTAGAATCAATGAAAAATGTGACATCAGTATGGCTGCTGCTGGATATTGACATGGTGGATATCGGGTAGACTGGACCATAGCTCTTGCATGGCATAATAGCAGAATAGAAACTATCTGTGGAAACATTAATAAGCAGAAATAGAAGTGTGTATTATATTCAGGGGAACTTGCAACCATTACTGGCTTATGCAGAAATAACTGGAAAAATATCAACAGCAAAAAAATGTTTGCCTTACCTATTGGAGCCCCAGCTCTACATTTTCCAGTATGTTAATATCTTTTCTCTCCATAATGGGTAGTTCATAATTAATGTGTTTCCTAATTTAACCCTCAATTTAGTTTAATCACCACCATTGCTATTAATATTGCCTTCCAGAAACACCTTCTAACAAGTTGACATTAATCATGAGAAAATTGCAATGTAATTGCTGTGGAACATGTACATTAATAAGGAAGCAGTTCAATACAGGTAGTGTTATGAAAGTGATTATTAAAAACATCAATGAGGAGCCATTTTGGGGGAGCTGCTGAAAAGCACCTCTCATAACTAAATAAAGCTATAATGCTTCTAGTGTGTTTGCACAGAGAGAAGGACTGAAACTAAAATATGATCATCCCAAGTGCAGAGAAAACCAGTTCATTAGGAGTCTTCTAAGGAAGAATTCAGTTTTATTCATCTTTAAGACTGTGACTGGTTGTGAAAAGAAAGGAAAGCTGAGTATAATTCATGTTTTGTATATTTAATCTGATGGAATGCATTAGGATCTAATAGCTTTGGAGAGACCAATGAAAATGTTGTTGCTTGGTCATGGGGCATTTTATCCCTAGACTGCACAGCACAGCCTAAAAGAAAAGATTCCAAGTGCGTTCACATAGCAGGCTTCTTAGGAAAATGACTGCTATAGGGTATTTAGTGATTCCTTCCTTACTGCAACTTTAAACTCCGTGGTCTGTTAGCAGCTTGAGAGCATATTCTGTGCTTTTTGAACTGTCACAATACTTCTACTGTTAAATTTGGGATATTTTTGGTAGCACTTGATTGTGAATGATTTATTCTCAGTAGTGTCCAAAGATATTGCCTAGAGACGGCATGAAATCAGTGGTTTTCATCCTAGAAGAAATAACTATGAAGATGCTTAAGGTAGTCATAGTCTAACCCTTAGCATCTAAAAATGCTAGGACGTATTTCCATCTATGTTTCAATATGACTGTAACTGTAAAAAGTGGGGAAACCTATTAGGTTAGCATCAATCCATAAAAATAAATTGATTTCTTGTTTTTGTGTGCAATCAGACATTATGTACATGTAGAGGTTTACAATATTATTAAGAATTACTGAATTCATTCTCTATCGTCCAAACTAAATTTGGTTAAACCATCTGTATCTGCGCATGCTCTGAATTGTCTGATGTGTGCATTTAAAGTCTGATAGTATATAGTTTGTTAGTTCCAGAATGGCATAACTAAAACAAATGAGCATTGGAAAGCTATAATTTTTTGGGTTTTCTTGGTATAGTCATACATTTGAAAAAGAATGTTAGGGTTTCTGGGAGCAATAGCACATTTCAGTAATGGTGCAGTTTCACTGGGTGGCAGTAGTAGCAGGGAAAAATCATTCATCACATGAACTCCAAGTCTGTGGGAAGAGATCTCTTTTCGTGTTGCCTAAATGTAAATTCATAAAGAGGTTTTGTTCTGATTCTAGACCATCAAAATTCAAAACACATCCTGGCTCTGGAGATGATTTATCTGATCAGCTAAACTATCTTCTACGTATTTCTGAGACCATATTTGAACTTCCAGTGTGGTCAGGTTTGGAGCACGAGTCAACATAAGCAGTTTAGTCCCCAGCACTTCACATTATTCAAGTTGTCTGCATAATTAGCCACGATGTGCCAGAGCAATGAGGAAAAGTACTGAACCAAATCAATATGAAGGCTGAACTGTCTCCTGCCCTAAGGAAAACACAAGAGCGTGAAGAAATGATTAACTGCTGGGCTGATGCCATTTGTCTATCTGAGCAGCTAAATGAATTGAATAACAGAAGCATGGCCTGATGGTACTGGCTTGCCTACTGGCATTTAACTTATCAAAGAACTTAAAGCCCTATTGACATTTACTGAGATAAATGATGAATAATATAGGTGAGATTTTTAAAGAGCTTATATGTCGAAATGTCCCTGGAATTCAGTGAGGAGGAACATTATCATTATCCAGACTTTATTAAATTCTGAAGCTCAAAAGATGGATTTTTCTGTTCCTATTTCTGCTAATGATATTTCTGCTATTTTTGCTATAATTTTGCTATATTTCTGCTATAATTAACTATTGGGTGTCTTACAAAATGCGTCTTTGTAGATACCTCCACTGTATTTTAATGGTAGCCCTGATTATCAGGCTATTTTCTACCCTCCTCATAAAAAAGATGAGTTGTCTGTGTCTACTTTCTTTCTATGGGATGAAGCCCTGCTGCATTTGGGATCCAGAACCTGCAAGGCAGAGCAAGGTTATAAGCTTGAGCTTTCCCTAATAGAACAAGATGGCAAGAAGGCTAAAGCCCATATTTGGCATAGAAAATTGTTGACTAGGGTATTTTTTGCTTCTCCTGAAGTGAAAGAAAGAAAGCAATACTGGTCTGTGCTCTACAGTAAGGACATTCTGCTCTTCGGTACCCCCATCTTTATGTGGTCTCTGATCAAAAGAGGGTGCCTGTACAAAGAAATGGTGACAGATAGCAAGAAAAGACAGTTTTAGTGTGTTCAATATAAGGATTAATACCATGGTACATCACTACTGCATCACGAAAGCATCACAGCAGCAGTTGAAATACATATTGCCAATTGCAATGCAACATCAAAACTAAGATGATGTGGTCCTGGATGGGTCCTGTCTAGACGCTGTGTCTAGACAAATTTTATGAACAGCTTCAGTCTTGTCTTTTTCTTTCTGCCAGTCCCAGCATGATGTAGGGAGGAGACAGCATGGAAGCGAACTACCAGAAACGGCCCAGCTTGTGATTCCTTTAATAGTCTTTGTGTGCTACCGCCACTGCCACTAAAGAGAAAAAACAAAACCAAACACATGGTGCCAAGTGACCAGTCAGTAGTATGAATGGGAACATGACATTAAATAGGACTGTTCTATGACAGTTATCCTTCTAGGATTACAAGAGCATCCTCTCTGACTTTAAATAGTCCAGTTTCATAGGAAAATGTATTAGTAAAAAAAAAAGAAATAGTTTTTTACATTCTTTAATAGCAATACTAAAGCCAAGATGTAGACATAAGCTTTTTTACCAGCTGTAGTGGTACTTGAAAACATATCTTAACCAAAGCCTTTGAAAAGAATTCATCACAAAGTCCTCTTAAATAATACCCCATCCTTCGCATTGTGGTTTTTCCTGCAAGGAAAGCTGATTTGTCCGGATCTGATCCGAATCCCACTGTAGTAAATGGAAAAACCAAAGTGAGCTGGACCGGAGACAGGGTTTTACATTCCATTGCTTCTTAGATGAATTGTTTGGGACTGAAGACTGCTTTAGCATACATATTCTGGCAGGCAGAAAATCGAATATGGCAAATCCACATATTTTCATTTTTAGATGAATATGTTTAAAAAAATTCAAAGGGGAAACAGTGAGGTTCTTCTTCCTTTTAAGGCTTTCATAAAACTCTGCTGGCCAGAAACTTTTGACTGTAGTATTACAAAACCTGGACATTAGCATTTTCTATTTCTGTCTTATTTGAGAAGACTCTCAGCTTTGTTCACACTGAAGCATTTGCTTTCTCAAGGAAATATGAGCTTTTCTCACAGATCAGCCTGGGGCAGAACAGGGACTGAACCCAGACTTTCCTAAATCACAAGGTTATGTTATCACTGAACACTGCCTACCACCAGCAGCAGGCACCAAATGTCATTAAGTCTCTTGGCCAAGGCTTTTGTTTTGCTACACAAAAGACAATGGGTAATCCTTTACCCCTCTTTCTTACTGAGAATGAATCACTTTTGAAGGACTTGAATAAATTGCATTTGAAGGATTAGCTCAGTAGATGAGGTGTTCAGTGCTGTTTCACACAGTATTCTTTTGGAGACTCTTGCTGCTCATGGCTTGGACGGGTGTACTTCTTGGCCTGAATCAGGAATAAATGGCCAATAGGACTAGGGAAGTGATTTTACTTTTCTCTACAGCATTGACGAGACTGCACCTCAAGTGCTGCGTTCAGTTTTGGGCCCCTCAGTACAAGCTGCTGCTCAAGCAAGTGCAGGGATGAGCAGTGAAGCTGGTGAAGAGTTCTAGGAGACAAGACTTAACAGGGAGTGACTGGGGGAACTGGGGCTGTTTAGTCTGGAGGAGGCTGAGGAGAGATGTCAAGTCTCTTTAGAACTGCTTGAAAGACTGCTGAGAAGTTGTTAGTCTCTGTTCTCAGGTGTTAAACTACTGGATGCAATGAAACCTAGGTTGCACTAGAGAAAGTTTAGATTGGCCATCAAAAAGAAGGGAGGGTGGTTAAACAGGCTGCCCAGGGAAGTGGTGGAGTCCCCATCTCTGGAGGTATTTAAGAGATGTGTGGAGGCAGCACTAAGGAAGATGTTTTACTGAGAGGATTCAGTATGTCAAGTTTACTGTTGGACTTGATGAACTTGGTGGTCTTTTCCCCAAAATAGATGATTCTGTGATTCAGGTACTGCATTGATTTTAAAATATCAAAACATATAAAAACAAATTAAATGCTGAACTGCACACGGTGAAGTATTCTTCATTTTCTTTTAGGGATTTTTGTAAAGCACAGAATATTTTTGATGTTTGGATTTGTTTCTGTTGTCTATGACTACTTTGTTGCTGTTTGAGCCTAGATAGGAAAAATCTGCATCGAAAACTGTATGAAATTCCGTGGTGTGAACATCACCTACAAGTTGCTGTCCCCCAATGTAAGCTGCTATGCTGTTGGCATACTTCAAGGCCGAGAAGATAAATATGGAAGCATTTATGTGAATGATTCCTCTGTGCTGCTTAGACCCGAATGCAAAGAAATACAATACACTGTTCAAGCTACAGACAAGCAGAGCAGGAAACACACCAAAACCCTCCTCACTGTTGTATTAGAAGGAACTGGTAAGTACCTGAGCAACAAGATAAAAATGGCAAAATTTGTTTTTATTAGGTGTTCTGATTCAGACCCAACCGCAACAGATATTTGTCCAATAACTAGTGCATGTAAAGTGGTGTATCGTATGTGATTCCTAATGCTCATCATCGTATGAAGACACAATTCTCTGATCTAACTGGATTTATTTGTCTCTCCCTACTTTCCCCTACCATTTTGATTTATATATTTTTAAATTTAAGGTTAAGGGAGTTAAGGGAGAGGGAAAAAAAGGCCTGCAGAGAACTTCTTGTGAGAACCTTGTGCTGTCTTGAAATCACACATTAGAAAGCATTGCTCTTGGGCTGCTGCTTATTATTCCCCAGTATAAAACATTTTCACTTAGATGAAAGTTTTTCATGAAGCTTTAAGCACTTACAGTCCCCATTTTCCTGTAACCAAGGTGCATATTTTTACTGTCTTGGGCACTGACTGTGTGCCATCAAGCAATGACCATGCTATCATGATCTTACTGTTTAATTTCATAAAAGAGTAACTCCTGGATTTTTAAGTGTTACATGAACTAATTGATCAGATCAGTGTTCACTCTCTCCTCTCTTTCCTCATCTTTCCTTTCTTCCTATCTGCCCCGAAGAAAGGAATTTCCCTTATGATTTGATCTAACTTGCTTGTGTATTCATTTTCCTTGTACTGATTTGACAGCAAGCCCTCTTCCCAACAGTTTTTAAAAAAGAAGAGGACTGCCCTGACTCTTGTGCTATGAGTAAGCACCTTGCTGAATGTGAAGAGTGTGGTGGCCTGGGAGCGCTAACAGGAAGATGCCAGTGGAGACAGGGGAGTGGAAAAGGTTTGTATCTCTTGTATGAAGTCAAGTTCTTCTTTAGCTGTAACTGTGCTTTTGACTTCCATGGATATAAACTGATTTATTCTGGATGGACAACATGACATAGTGAGCTACCCAGAAGCTGTGGTTAAAATAAACAAGCAAACGAAAATCCCCCATAAAACATAATACCCAAATGGAACATTCATTCTTTGTAGGAAGGAAAACGATGTTCGTTTGGAATGGTCCTTGCTGTTCTTTCTAGTGGATTGAACATGATACTTGTAACACAAGGTGCTAGACTACAGATTGGATTTGTATCAGTTTAACTGGAATGGACAATTTAAAGCTCTGCAACCATCAGTGAATTTGGAAGATGTGTTTGTAGTGTTTATGCAGTTGTCTGTTTTTCTGTTAATAGGAATCACCACAAACTATTCCACATGCACCCCAAGTATCAAGACTTGTCCAGATGGCACCTGTGATATCGTGGAGAGCAAAGATCCAGCTATTTGCCCCCAGGATTGCACAAGTATGGAAATGCTTTACGCTTGGCTTTTCTGTGTCACAATTCACTGTTCATTAAGTTCTGCTTTCTTAACATCAGATACTTTTACATGCTGCGCATATTTATTTCTGCATTATTATATCTGTATATGAATCATACAACAGTGTCAAGTTTATGGGGACTCATTTTGTTATTTTGAAGCCAGTCAGCTAACACTTTTTGGCTGTCAGAGCAAGGTTGGGTTTCTTTCTCATCACTCTGCTCCCCTCTTAATTTGCTCCCCTCTTAATTTGCAAGTAGTGGTTTTTTCAGTGGAGGTATTTACTTGAATAAATACTAATATTATGCAAGTTAACGCCATATTTCCAAACTTTGGCACACAGAAATAAAAATCCTGCCTATTTGCACTACCATTTAAATAAGTAGAAATAAATTCCAGTTTAAAACCAGATGTGCTCTGAAAGGGTCACTTTCAGAAATGCACTTGGCCTTATTTGACTAGAAACCATCAAAATTATTCCCTCTCTATTTGAAGGTACGTGCAGAGGTTCACATGAACAGCATTTGGGAAGGGAGAATTGAAATGTTTTTTTTTCAGTGCATCTGTCTTCATTTCACGTACTCTCATTGCTGCCCATAGCTTCACGTTCTCAAGTCACCCTGAAGATACGAAGGCTAGCAAAACAATTTACTGTATTGCAATTTAAATCTATTACGAGATGATTGCTTTTAATTGGATCTTTTTATACAGGATCTGGTATCTAATTGATGGATAAAGACATAGCTATCTTAATGGTTCTTGGCTATGGAATTGTACGCTCTAAATTTACATTTTAAAAAGAAGCCTTTGAGGAACTGATGTTTTATCATAGTCTAGAACCTAAGTTACTCAATGAAAATCAATTAATAATCAGCTTGGTCTTTCTCACATGAAAAAAAAAAGGTGATTGTGTATTTTAAATTACTTTTATCACGTTATTACATTAGAGTGCATAAAACCCAATCTTTAATGTGGCAGAAATGGTTGAAGTGAATGCAAGTAATTAATCATCTGAAAAGAATTACTTTTTTTTTTTTTTTTTTTTTGTAATAACAGAAATCAATTGTCATTCTAAAAGTGGAAATATCTGTGCCAGGGTCTGTAGTGCTAAGACAGACAGTATGCAATATTTATAGCATCAAATGCTTTGCTTGACAGAAGCCTGAAAGAAATACTGGCTTATTGGATAAAAGAAGCAGGCAAGTAAGGGAAGCTTTCAAGATGTTGTATATGCTTCTTTAATGTCTGAATTGGAAAATTTTATATGGGATTTGGTACAATTCAGAACCTGGGATGGTGCCCAAAGCCAAAATACTTACAGAGGAAGAAATGAGAGTGTTTTGGGAGCTCAGAGGTACAGGAATGCCATTATATCAGCTTTTACTGGCAGAGAACATTTCTTTGGAAATGGTAAGTAATAAATAGAAAAGCCCCTGATGCATTAAGATCAAGGATATTCTTTAAGTACATGCAGTTGCTAAAATACTTGTTTTTATAATTCATCTGACATTATAATGGCTATGTGCTTGATTCCCAACGTTGCTTTTTCACACACTCTAACGCTATGAATATTACATTCGGGGCACTCAGCTGAAACAGCCAGAACTGTGCCCATCAAATAAAGGCAACCTAACTAAATTCTGAACAACACACTTCCTTGCTGTAACTGTGTCAGGGGCAGCTGCACGAAACAGCTTATCTTTGTAGGTTTCTCTGAACTTTGGCTTTTTGATACTGGAAGAAAATAACGTCTTTTGGCTTCTACCTTCCTTTGTTTTCAGCAGCAATCTGTTTCTGCCTTTGGTTGTGTCTGACAACTAGTATTCTCACTTTTTGAATTTCTGGAGTTTCTACATGGCTTGGGATAGAATTACTGTTTTTCCTTTTTCCAAATGGTCATGAAGCAGGGAAAGTTCTTTCCCACCACAGAGCAGTGGAAACAACTGATGATTTGAAACAGGAGTAAGTAAAATACTACTCAATTCAAAATAACACTGATAATTCTTGGAATTTCCCTACCAGCACTGAATTGGTGAAAAACACATTTATGGCTCACTGGAATACATGTAGGAAGCTCCATGTTTTCACTGTGGGTCGAAACGTTCATTCTTTCCCTGCTGCGTTAAAACAAAAAAAAAATGTCTTCAAATCCCTTGCTCAAAACAGTTTGGATAGGACCTGCTCATCCTCTGCTTCCCCCTTTTTCCAGGTCCTCTGATTTTCTGAGGCTAATAGAAACTTCATTTCATTATCATAATAAATGAAGTTGACTGGTGAGGGCATAAGCTGGAATTTTTGGGAACACCACAGTGCTCCGTACAACAAGTTTTGTGACTCAGCAGTGACTCAGTCATACCCCAAATTAGCACACTGTGCTGGGTATAATTTAGTAGGTGTGCCCTTCTTGGAAAGATGACCAAAATCTGTCTGTTTTGCTTGGATACAAGTTGTTGTTTTCACATTAGATAAGGAAGGATGTTTGCTTCCCTTTCGGCAAAAATATCTTCCTCCTTGATTTCTGTTAAACATTAAAAAAAATATAAAAGAAAGAGTCATTCATTCTGATATCAAATTAGGTGGGCAGGAGGAAAATGTTTTGGAATAATACAACTACTGAATATATCTTATTCAGCTTTCGAATCCCTTTATGGTTTAGATGATCTTTCTGAATGACAGCGTTTTACAGACGTAACTAGGTATTGTTATCTCCATTTGATAACGGAACAAGCAACATGCAGAACAGTGTGCTGACTGTCCCAAAGTCAGGTGAAATTGGCATCAGAACCAGGAACAAAACTCAAAGCTGTAGACTGCTGACTAAACTTTACCACTGGGCTGTGCAGCAACTCGGGCATGAAAAAATACCTGAGATCGTGGTAGAGATAAACTGAAATAAATAGGCTAGAGAAAATATTTTAGGGAGAATTCGGAAATGTAAAAGACATTTCTGATACAGAACTGTGATGCTTTATGAAGAAATGAAGTCTGAACAGCCATGAAACGATCATTTGAGGTGGAAGTTTGGCACGAAATAATGAGATTATACATTATGTTTTATGGTGTATGTGAAATTAGGAATGTATTTCAACTATACAGTGCAAACATAATTATTTTATCATACAAACATTTTAATCCAGAGTCTTCCATAATGGGAATAACAGCTTATCAGGTGAGATTCGAGCAGCCCAATATCCTTTCATTTCAGGACCTGAGAAATTTCAGCATTTTTGATCTACTCAAATGCTCAAAAATCCCTGTCGTTATCACTGCCCTGTGCTGCATTGTCAGTTTACAGATACATACTAGGATGAATCTGTGGAAAACCTTGAGCTATTTTTAAAAATTATTTATTTTTAATTTAATGTCATGTGAGAATCTTGTTTCTGTCTTTGGTTAGATGGAAATATTATTGGTGGTCATGGGAAAGGCACTGGAAATCTTGGAATTAAGTCAGGACATGGGATTTGTTACTGCTTCCCGAGACAGAACTGTTACTGTGAGAAAGATGATATCAAGGGTAAGTCGTCACCTGCTCTTGCCCATATGATTCTTTCCTTCTTTTTTTTTTATCTCCAATTGGTATATATGCAACAGTCTAAACTTCTGGACTTATTAATAAGCATTAGTATATCTGGTTCTTTATAATACCCTATTGAGCAATATTGTTATTCAGAAACTGGTAGTATAAAATCCATTCAGAAGTGGCACTTTGACTTCCGCATGGAGACCGAAAACCTCCAGAGGGGGGAGGTTACTTCAGAGCTTCACTAAAGATTCTTTTTTTATCCATAAAGAACAGGTTGGCCATCTTTTGCTCTCCAGCAGTATTTGCATTTCAGTAAGACTCACCTGGTATTTGCAAAGACACCTAGGAAAATTAGAATAATGACTTCTATTACTCTCAAGTAATTCCAGCCTCCTAATCGCTTCTGAAAATCTCAGCTTCAAAATGTCAGATAGCCAACACCCATTGTGTGAGGAGGAGGAGTGGATCACTTAAACATCATCCTTTGTTTAAATGTAAAAGCTCTTTATGGTTCCTCAGAACAGATTAATGAGGATTAAATGCTGTTATTTTAAAATTGGTTTTATTATTGCAAATTATTTTATGTTTCTTATTAGCATTTATGTAACTAAACTAGAAAGAATATGCCTCAATAAATAAATTTTCTATAGGCATTAAAATAAAACAGGAAGCATAAATCTTGGGGCCTTATCTTCCCTTCCCAGTTTTATTTATTCCCTTCCCAGTTGCAGAAAATGATTTGCTGTTCCCAGTAGTTTTAGAGGTACAGCTTGCAGACAACATTACTAAGTTATCTGCATCTGAGGTCAGAGTCTCCTGGTGAAAAGCAATGTAAGGATGGCATGCTGCATCTCTCAGTTCCTGCGTGAAACAACTCCGTAGGAGCGATGTTTAGGGCACTTAGGCTTAAAGAAATCCTACCTGCAAAGAAAGACAAAAGTGCTTCTGGAAAAGATCAAGTGCATGTGGAGGAAATGATGCATATTGCATATAAACTTGCAGCATAAGCGTATTTTCACAAAAAATATTTTGTGAAATACAAAGCAGAAATATTCAGTCTCCTTCTTTAAAGTCTGGAAAGATGAAGATAAGTATTTTCTTATGTCCAACAAATCACATAATAATGAATTAAAATTCACATTTGAAGGTGATCTTATTTCATTGAATTGTTCTAACGTAAACTATTGTCCTCAAGCAAAATCCAGTCACGTGCCTACAGGCATCTGAGTACAGTCAGAAGATCAGTATATGGCAGGCTGTGTCTGACTGTTAAGAAGAGTCTTAACAATTGCTGCATCTACAAAGACAAGGAACATGGGATCAAGCTAGCTATCCTGACGTTTTACACAAACAGTTAAGCATTGAATTCCCTACTGGTATCCAAAGTAATAATAATAATAATTAAAAAAATGATAGGTGCAATGGGTATATTTTCAAACTTCTTTGAGAAAAGCCTATCAGATTTTCCTTCAACTTTTAAAATGATTTTGAGTTCTTTTTCTGTTGTACCTGTGCGTGCCACTTCATCTGCCAAATTGAAACTTGGAAACAGCAAGCAAAGTTCTAACACATTGTTCTTGGTCCACAGAGCAATTTTGTGATGAAGTGTGCAAGACTGTGATAGCAGGGGCAGTGCTGTTGTCCTTCATCATCTCTGTGCTGCTTTCTTCCTATTTCATCCATCGCTACCACAAGAATTCTCCAAAACCACCTATTGCCTCTGCAGAAATGACATTCCGGCGCCCAGCCCAATCGTATCCCATCAGTTATTCTTCTACTAATGTCCGTCGGCCTTCTTTAGACTCCATGGAGAACCAGGTGTCAGTAGACACCTTTAAGATACCGGTAAGCCAGATTTCATTTTACACCCGTATCTGTCTTGTCCACAAAGAAGGGTGCTTATATGTGCAGAAATGGAAATGCAGTCTGCTAAGAGAAACATCGAACTTAGATAACTAAAACAGAGGTGATGAGCACGTGAATGGAACTGAAGGTGGTAATTGAATAAACCATGTAATTTACTGCAGAAGGAAAGTACAGCCCCGTTTTTGTTATGTGCTGTTATAACGTATCGTTAGTTACAACTTGAGCCACTTTTTGAAATAAATGTAATCTGACATTATTAAAGTAATATAATTGTTTATATTGTTACATTTAACATAACATTGTTAAAATAATAATCTAAATGTAAGCTAGTGATCAGTGGGTTTGTAATCTCTGTGATGAGCACAGTGTCACAGCAAGGATAAAACTAGGGAGAAAAAAGAAAAAAGGTTGAGATCTGATTTTGATTATCTTATATTCATATATACCTATATTCTGTAGGTATCAATTAGCATGGGTATCTTACCCACACTTTAAGAATCTTTGTCCAGTCAAACTGTCATATCTTTACTCTGGCTTCTTCTGTGTTGGTAAATCACTTTCAGCTGGTGCATTTTCACGTACTAATGCAGCAGAGAAACACTGCCATATTATATGATATGTGAAAACGTCAGATCTGTTTGGAGGTTTGTGCTGAGGTCTTCACAGCCTTTGTACTCTGTTTGCTGTCTAATCTGGTGCGTATATCTGTCACCATTTTGCAAATTTAAAGCTCAGTAATACTCATTTCCTAAGAGGAGGACTGTTGTGTCTAACTAACTTTATTCTGCCTTATTCTGCAAGTAAAATTGATTAACTTCTCTCTGAAGTGTACGATCACTTATTCAAAGTTATTCTGAAAGCAAGCATTTATTCGTCATCACTTTGTTTTGTTTGTAACCACTTTCAAGCCTTTTAAATATAATCTATTGTCCACAGGCTTTTTGAAGGATGTAATTTCAAGATAATGGTAAAACATTTGCAAAATGCTTAGAGGTTCAGAAGTTTACAGAGCAACGCACTCATTAAATAACAAAGACCAAACCAAAATTGTACACCAAAGCACACCTACTCCTGAAGAAACGTTTCCTGTTGAACATTCCAGTGTCCCTAGTCGCTCCTGTTTTGATCCATTCTTATATCCATTCTTATAGCGTTCCTTTTCTTTCCTGCAGGAAGATCCAAAGTGGGAATTCCCTCGGAAGAACCTGGTTCTAGGCAAGACTCTTGGAGAAGGAGAATTTGGAAAGGTTGTCAAGGCGACAGCTTTCAGGCTCAAGGGGAGAGCTGGCTATACTACTGTGGCAGTGAAAATGCTAAAAGGTACTTTCCCCCCTGCTTCTGAAACTAATGGAAAATTGTTGCAGCCTCCGCATTGATTTTAAAATGGGCTACTATGAGAGTAAAGGGTCAGCTACAAACAACTAATGCTATAGCCTCCATTTCTTCCAGAAGATGTTTATTCTGACAGATTTCTGACTTTAGGGGATCTAGCATCACACTGATCCAAATAAGTCATATCCACAATCAGTTTTAATTCATGATATTCAAGGGCTCTCTGTCTTAACGGAGCAAATGCATTTAATTTTGTTTTGCATTACTAGAAATATTGCAAGGGTTTGCTAATGCTTTCTGATTTTCTTTTTACCTCTATGTAGTTTTCTTTAGCAGAGTTTTCAAAATACATCACATTACAATCCTGGCAAGAGAAATAATAGTCCTATTAAGTTACTTACTTTTCTATTTGAGAATTCTGTCTACTTTCTGATCTACTTTTCCTCTACTAGGTGAATCTCCATACCCAGATTTAATAGCCTAGTGCTTTCTTTGATGTCTTCATAAAGCTTTAAAGTTTGGAAAAAATGTATGCCTAGGTTATGGTGAGATAATAATGTGAGACACCAAGCTCTCGTCTCTGTCTCTTTGTAGCAGTTTTCAGCCCCGCATATACCTATTTCTATCCCATATGAAAAAAAGAAATTGCATTGAAAGAAAAACATGAAGAATATATTTTGTTTGTTTGGTCTCTGAAGTGGGAAGTCTCCAGTATTACTGTGCTTTCCAGGTAGAAGCTGAATCCATGGCATGTAAACCACAGCTTTTGCCACCCCTAGGCCTGTTTTCTAATGACAGCATTGCCAGATAAGAAATGATAGTGAAGGAGGTCAATGGAAATGCTTAAACTTGTTCCCTTGTCGTTTATTCATCAGAGACAAAGGGCTGAAATGGATATTGAAGCTGTGTCCTTTTCTGTAGTTTGGTGTACTAAAACATATAAATGCATATAGTCCCTATACAACAGGCACCTAGGAATATGTGGGACAAAGATGGAAAACAAGAACCTTCAGAAAGGCTTATGGATACGAGACAATGCCTTTAGCTGGGCAGCTAGCTCAAGCTGAATATACATACAAGTCTTTTTTAAAAAATCCATCTGCTACTGCTTGAGAGCAAAGATGCTGCATATTCCATCATTTTACCAAAGGAGCAAATGCATTATGAAGCATTTCCTACTTTCCAGGAGGTTCAGAGGAGATAGATCATATATATAAAATATAGATATAAGTCTTTTCAGAATTGAAGACCAGTCAAGCAGCTCCTGCAGTGTTCAGGTAACAACTTGTGTATTCTTCTAATACCCAGTTTTTCTTAGGCATTATTTCATTTCATATTCATTTGTGCATTGAGTATCACAGATTTCCTAACGCGTTGTCATCAGCAACGTGGAACTGAGTTAAGATTCCAAGACATAGTGGTAAAAAATGTTGCTTTTACTTGCAGATGATTTAACATTCAGCTTTCCCTAGCTATTAAGTGCAGAACTGACAGTAGGAAAGAGTAGCCCTTTATTTTAAGCACCTTATTTAAATAAACTGATCTGACATTTACAGTAATGCTTCAGGCTCTAATGAATCCCTTTGTAATGTAAATTACTTTGCACATAGTCACTTGAAATTTCGTTTTCCTACTTTGTTACAGAGAACATTTGGCATTGCTGGAAATATTTATTTTTTATTGTTTTAACTTCAGTCAAGTGTAAGAAAGATTGCATTAGTCCCAAGCACTCTATAAAATACCGCCAGGAATAAAGAATGGTTATTTTGGATCAGGCCAACATCGTCCATCCTTTCCCTGTTATGTACAACAGAATTAGCTTTATCCTCATATGCAGAGGGTTATTCAGCCTAGCATTAGGGACTCTGTGTTTGATCTTTAATCAGTAAGTTAGTAGAGAAGATCTCCTGCTAATTGAGTAAAATATGTCTCTTTCCTGATCTGTGTGGTTAGGGTAGGACTTTTCCTACTTTGTGAACTTTGTGCAATGCTCTGGGCAGGGAAAGGGGAACTGTAAGGAATTAGCTGAGTCTTGGACCTATGGATGGAGGTTAAAAGGAACAGAGGAAGATTTTTTTCAGGCAATTTTTCTACCACTTTGTGCATATGAATCCTGTATGATACAAAAGTCCTCATCAACATAAAATTCAAGTGGATAATGCCAACCAACAAGCAAATAGATGTCATTTGCTACTTGCTAAAAACACGTGGCACAGAGCTTCAGAGCTAATTATCGCAATTTGTGCGCTCTAGAAAGTTGTTCTTCAGAAGACAGGCAAACAAGGGCCCCAGAAAAATTCAGTCTTTTCTTGCACGTTACACAAGACTAGACAAACCAAATATTTTCACAGACATTAAGTTCATATCATTCAGTTTTGGTTTAGATAAATGAGTAGGTTTTGTACTCCTTAACAGTAGTGAGCAGCTATCAAATACTAACACTCCCTGACTAAGGTGCTTTGAAGTATGAGTGGAGGTGCTCTCTCAGCCCTGGAGTCATTTGGGGTAAGGCTGGAGAGTACTCTGAGCAACTTGATGTAGCTGTAGGTAACCCTGTTCATTGCAAGGGAGTTGGACTAGATGACCTTGCAAGGTCCATTCCAACTCAGACAGTTCTGTGGTTCTGTGATATGACTGTGTATGTGTATATATGTATATATATATATGTATATATATAATTGTATGCAGACAATTTATATAGAGAATCTTATCTGCATACAGACAATATGTAGCAGACTGATACTGACATACAGAAAAACAGAATCAAAAATGGTAACTGGAGAGAACTATTAGCACACATTTTAAATGGATATGTAAAGGGGTTCTTTTGTACTTTATGACTCTATGGTAGAAAATACACTTTGTTGACAAAGAACAGAAACTGACTTTGGTTTTTATTAACATTAAGTAAGTGTGAGTACGTGACTGTAAGCTGCCCAATAATGACGCTGTAAGAGTGATACAGGGAGATTCTTTATGACAGCGGCATTAAAGATAAAGCAGACAAAAGGAAATCACTGACCTATGGTGTCTTTATGAATAATATTTCCTTCAAAACTCAGTGTTCGAAGATTGTATGAAGAATTCTTAGCCTTGAAAGGCTAAGAAAGCATGCATGTTGTCGCACTACTGCCATTGACATCAGCAACGTCTGCATACCTGATTTCCTCTAAAATCAATCTGAGCCATATATTTAGCTTCTGAACTCCAAAATCTGGATATATGCTGCAAATGTAAGCCAGTTGATAGGTAGAGTTTTATTCCATCAGAAAATCTGTTTAGAAAGATAAGGGTTGTATATTATAGGGAAGATAATTGAGCAAGTCTTTTGTTCAGTCAGCACAAAATTTTGGCTTTTGTATTCTTCTGAATCTTCATTTGCTCTGATTCACTCTATAAATTTGCTTTCATTTGTAATACTTTTGGTGCATCTGCAAGACGTTGAAGACACTGATCCTGACTTTGGGATGACCTTCTCTTGATGTAGTCATTTGTATTGGATGGAAGGGGGTGATGACTGCATGTCACCCAGTCAGCACAGCAGTGTCCTATTCACCTGGTTCTGATATGAACAACTGCAGGACAATGAATTTTCTAAATTCCTAGTAATTCTAGGAGAAATGGCTGGAAAAAAAACCCGAAGCTTATGCTTCAGGTGGTATGTAGAGAACTTCTGGATAATGCTTTCCTAAACACAGCTGTGTTTTTGGACATCTTTTGCAGAAAATGCTTCCCAGAGCGAGCTGCGAGATCTGCTTTCAGAGTTCAACCTTTTGAAACAGGTGAACCATCCTCATGTCATCAAACTTTACGGAGCCTGCAGTCAAGATGGTAAATATTAGAAGCTCATTGTTTGAATGAAAACTTCAGTATTCATTTTGAATCTGAAGCTATATATTGAAGTCAACAACTGTACTACCAGTTGTCTTCCTAACAATCTGTATTTTCCTATTACATTGATGCTCAGTACAGCTTTTCAAAAATGGATTATTTCTTAAAGTCTAATGGAGCTTTCATTATAGTTACTGTTATTCACTCTGTAACTACTTTGATGCCTGAGTTCAGAGAGTGACATCTCCTTTTATTAACTACAGATCCCTCTGTTAAAATACAGCTTGATGGTTAGACTGACATCTGAGTTTTCCTGTTGTTTCACAAAACTCGTCTCCCTCTTTAGATAGATTTGTTAAAAGCCACAGTCATTGCGAAGTATATTTTAAGAGGGAGGAAATTTTCATATCTATTTATTATATCTTCCCATTTTCATTGCTGAGCATAGGAATTGGTCTGAATAATTTCTGTTCACATTAAATGAATTTGCAAAGCTATTCTCCTCGTTTTGTGTCTCTAATTGTGATTCTTTTCCCTTAAAGACTTTGTGATTTTTGCAGCCTAAAATTATAGTACATATGTGGCAACTTCAGGCTAAGGCCTGCCTTTTTTGCCCTGTTCAAGATGGCACTATTATTTATAGAAAGAGAATATAATTCAGGATTGAGTCCTCTCTGAGTCTTAGAAAGGTAATGAACCAGCAAGGCAGGATTTTTTTTTTCTTTCCAGTATAATGCGTCTTTTTATCCCTAAGGAAGTGAACTGTTACTGAGTCACAGGGTTTTAAACAATATCAAGCTAATTCATTGGTGTATGGAGTGGGAGGGTTTTGATAGAGCAGGCAAATGTCTTTAGCATTAAAACTTGGAGTGGATATTATTCATGTGGGTAACAGGGAGGAGAAACTAATGGACTGAAATGTCAGACTGTTTTTAAGCACTCTGAAAAGGCTCCTTAGATACAACGTTGGAATTAGCTTTGTGAGCTCAGCATCATGCACTGCAGAAAAGAATTTTGCTTTTTATTTATTTATCCATTTATTTTTATGAGTTTTTCTAATTTAGGCTGTTTCACAGATGTGATTTTTATGAAGGTTGTCTTTATTCAACCTCAAATTATCCAGATGAGGGAGTTACTGCCTGAATTATGGCTCGATTTAAGCTGAAATTTGCTCATAGAGAATATAAGCTAGAAATATTTCATGGCTCATTCAGTGCCTTTTATGTTGAGCACAGAGGTGTCTGGATCCTCTGACTGTTAAAAATAATGTGTTGATTAGACAACCTTCTTAAGCACCAGAACAGGCTCCCAGGGAGGTGGTTGAGTCACCGTCCCTGGATGTGTTTAAAAACTGTTTGGATGTGGTGCTCAGGGATGTGATTTAGCAGAGGGTTGTTCGAGGTAGGGTGGTATGGTTGGGTTGTGGTTGGACTCAATGACTTTTGAGGTCTTTTCCAACCTGAGCGACTCTATGATTCTATGGTTCTGTGATTAAGTGCTAACTTACCAGTGTGTGTGTCTGTTCCAGGCCCGCTCTATTTAATTGTGGAATATGCTAAATATGGCTCCTTGCGCAGTTTTCTCAGGGAAAGTCGAAAAGTGGGACCAAGCTACGTGGGTAGTGATGGCAACAGGAATTCGAGTTATTTGGATAACCCCGATGAGAGAGCTTTAACAATGGGAGATCTGATATCATTTGCATGGCAGATATCACGAGGAATGCAGTACCTGGCAGAAATGAAGGTAGAGCTGTGTGATAGTGATGTGAGCGTGTCCTTGTGACAGATGGATGTGTCAGTATGTTCCTTCAGAAGTATAAACACCGCTGTTCGTTTTCTTTCAAAAGCTTGTCCATCGTGACTTAGCAGCCAGGAATGTTCTGGTGGCCGAAGGGCGCAAAATGAAGATCTCTGATTTTGGCCTATCCCGTGATGTATATGAAGAAGATTCGTATGTCAAGAGGAGCAAGGTACAGTGCACATTAATGGCAGTAGTGGGAATTATTGCCTAATCAAGTGAAGGGATTTAAACTGCAGGACTTGAGCAGAGAAAAATAACACAGAATCACAGAATGGCCCGGATTGGAAGGGACCTCAAGGATCATGAATCTCCAACCCCCCCGCCACACGCAGGGCCACCAACCTCCCCATTTAATACCAGACCAGGCTGCCCAGGGCCCCATCCAACCTGGCCTTGAACACCTCCAGGGATGGGACATCCACAGCCTCTCTGTTAGCCTGTTCCAGTACCTCACCACTCTCATAGTAAAGAGAAGAAGATAACAGCTAATTTTATGAATAATGACAATAATTAACTAATTCTCTAATAGAAGATATAAATTGAAGATAGGGCAAAAAGATTAGCTTAACTAGTAGGACAGTAACAGTGTACTGTATTCAAGTCACTATTACTTCGTCCATTTCTTCATTCTCATTTGTAAATATGCTTTTTTAGTTCCTCACCCACCAACAAAAAGAATTGGTTTCTAATTTGTAAAAGTTAGTTGCTGTAAACAAAAGAGCCATTATGATATTTAAGGCTTTGATCTGACGTGCCAAGAAACGCTGCCAGAGCTGGAACTGTTCAGCCTGGAGAAAAGAGGGCTTAGAGGGATCTTTCTGACGTGTACAAATCCTGGTAGGAGGCAGGAAGTAAGACAGAGCCATGCTCTCAGAGGTGACCACTGACAAGGATAAGAGACAACAGGCATAAGTTGAAATAACAGAAATTCTATTTCAATTTAAATTAAAAAAAAAAAAGTCTGACAATGATGAAGCAGTGGAACAGGCTGCCCAGGGAGTCACAGTCCCCGGGCATATTCAAAACCTAACTGGAAATGTTCTCAAGAAGCCTGCTATAGCATGCCCTGCTCTGGGCATAGGGATTGGACTAGGTGACCACCAGAGGGAAGTCCCTGATAACCCCAAGGATTCTGTCATCCTGTGAAAAGTTGCAAGCCAGTACATAAATATTAGGATGGAATCTGCTGGGTTTTTGTGGTCCTCTGCCCTCCCCTTCCCTTCCCTTCCCTTCCCTTCCCTTCCCTTCCCTTCCCTTCCCTTCCCTTCCCTTCCCTTCCCTTCCCTTCCCTGCCCTGCCCTGCCCTGCCCTGCCCTGCCCTGCCCTGCCCTGCCCTCCCCTCCTCTCCCCTCCCCTCCCCTTCCCTTTTTCCTGCCAAATGCTCTGTAAGCAATCATTTCTTTTTCCTACTGCTAGAGATTTTACATGGGCAGGACACATAAAAGTAGTCTGTGTCAGCAAATGTAAAACAATGCCACCCTTTTTCATTGCAGGAGATGTGCTCATTAACCTATTTACAGATAGAGCACAGCCCATTTTTTAAATGAGGTGGGCCTTCTCATTTATCCAGTTCCTCAGCACACTGCTTGAAAAGAAGAAATTAACAAATCTGCCGTTTTTTCTCCCTCTTCCTAAGTAAAAATATGAACAAAGAAACTCAAACCAAAGCCACGGTTTTAAAAACTACATTCAATTTCTACTAAGTCTTATTTTTGGGAATTATCACATTTATATGGATGACTTGAAGCAAAACTCCTGCTAGAAATTCTTTTATACATATGAAACATACCAAATCTTAATCAGCATGGTAGGTCACAGACTATGGAATCTGCTAATGCTTCCTGTCAAAGATTATTTAAAGCAGTTTTATTTTGCCTGCCATTGCAAATGATGATCAAGTGTCTAGATACAGTTCTGTCTGCTTGCAGTGCACACAGCAGCATTCAGCATACCATATAGCATAGTATCACAGAACTGTTTGAGTTGGAAAGGACCCTTAGAGGCCATCTAGTCCAACTCCACTCCAATGAACAGGGGCACCCATATCTCAGTCAAGATGCTCAGAGTCCTGTGCAGCCTGACCTGGAATGCCTCCAGGAACAGAGCATCCACCACATCATCGTATCATCTAATCATGTCATCATACTGCTGCCCCTGTAGGATTTTGGTAGACAAATTTGTTGGAAATCCCCTGTAAGACTTTGGAAAAGAAATTTGTTGGAAAGATGATGAAGTCCTCTTGTTGAATCACGTCATTGCTTCTGAAAAAACAAACAAACAACAAAAAAGTTGAGATTGACAGTTTTGAGATGAAGATGGTTAATTAAAACTTGCCATTGTTTATTCTTAAAAAAATTTTAAAAATGAAAATATTGTCAAATACAGCAATCCAAATCTTGCTTTTTTCATATTTGCCTACTGCCATTGACATCAGCAGAACAGCATTTACATGTCATACCAAGGCCAGACTGTGATGTTAAATTGCTAAAGCTGCTTTCTACTGACTGTTTATAAGATCAGTAGTGTTGGTTCTGTTCCCGCTATGACTCAATATGGAAGAGTTGCCAACAGAAATTTTTGCATGTGAAAGTTGTATCATATAATGAAAATACTTCTGTAAATACTGCACATTTTATATTTAGCTTTTCCTGGTATGTGGTTGGCTTTTTTTTCTTTTTCAGTTAACAGTGCTGTTTGTGCGAATGTTTCCTTAAGTCAAAATAAGTTGTAATGAAAATGACCTTCTGAAGATGTGATCATGCATAGAAAGGGCTTTGCCACATGCAGTTAGCTGTTCTGATGTATGTGTTCTATGGACTGGTTGTTCGGTATTTTAAATAAATGCAGTTTATTTCTTGGGATGGTCATGTAATGAAAGCCTATTTTCTCTTTGCTTCAGAGATGCTCATCACTACAGAGCTTAACAGATCATCTGTCAGCTTGTGTGAAGGATGAAATTCAGTGATTTTACAAAATTCTTACAGTTATTCTCTTCACATTTTCTTACGCAGTGTTAAATCATTCTGTCCCGTGGAAATGTTTAGAGCATGAATAGAGTATCTGTTACAGGTTTGAAAAAAAAAAAAAGAAAAGTAGTTAATATGTTGGTGTTCCACTTAGAAGCATGAATCTCTGACCAGTAATATATATATGTATATACGTATTTTTTTTTAGGGTCGGATACCTGTTAAATGGATGGCCATAGAATCCCTATTTGATCATATCTATACAACACAAAGTGACGTGTAAGTGTAAATTCTGTGATTCTTTATAGTTCATGCATTTGTTTAAGGAGATAGGGGAGGAAGTAACAATAATGTACATGGTAGTCAAAGCTCTTAATGCTTAAACAGAGACAGAACGCAGCCTGCATGGCCCCACATGCTGTCATTGATATGTTTTATTTTGTATTTTTGCCATTTAATTAAATCTGAGGAAAAATTATAAAAGTTACTTAGGTGTTTAATTCCTGCCATATTCAGCAGGGGTTGCAGCTGTGCGTGTGAGATGATTGGCTTTGAAGATGTAGACAAAAATTACTGATCTTAGTTGTCAATGACAACAGTTGAACCCACCATGCCCAGTTCTCATTCATCGCTTGTATTTAACAGCAACCAGCAGAAACAGGGTCAATAGGGAGAGGTGTTAAATCTGACTTCACTCCTATTCAAATCAGTGACATAATTCCAATTAATTTTAATGGCAGCCAGCTTACACTTCAGGAGAGCAGTCTGGTTCCAGTGCCAAGAGGCAAGCTCATTTGCATCACTGGGGAAACTAAATTCCTGAAGATGTGCTCCTTCCTCACTGCTGATGGCAAGGCTGCAGAACTACCACAGCTAGGCTGTTCTCACTGTCTGATGAGGAAAGAGCCTAACAGAGGAGTGTTTGTACACATTTAACTTAGAATCACATCCTTTCATATTCTTTCTCCCTGGGATGAATAGTGGTTGTGACCAGACTGCAGGCAGACACTGTAAAACAAAGTGTTACTTATTTAGGAGAAAAAATCTCCAAGGGATTGCAAAAGCAGCAGTAGTTGCTCCTGATATTCTGCCAGGTAGCATTTTGGATATCTTCCAAACACCCCTTGAAAGACAATCTTGACTAATGCACTATTTTCATTGAACTCAAACAGCATAAAACATTCTGATCTCAGTGACATTTCACTGTGGAAGAAACCACTTGCATGACAGCGGTATCTGCAAATAGGAACCTTTCAATATTTACTTTTTATTCACCTTTTACTCATTTCTCTGCAGTTCAGAAGAGTTTAAGTGAAATAAAGTATTTTGCTCAACTAGAAAATTCTCTACAAAATGAATTTGCCAAGTATTTCTATTTTTTTTTTTTTTTTTTCATTTGGATTAAGAAAAGAAAAAAGTAGGTGCAACCCTTGGGAGAATGTCACTTTGAATTAGGCCTGTCTAAAGGTTTTTCTTGTTTTGTTTTGTTTTGTTTTCCTGCTCATATTATCTGTTATGCTAACCTGTTTCTCTACAATGAGTTTTCCCAGAGAATTTTTAAAATTAAAAAAAGTCATAGCATATGTATATATTTAAATTAATATTACACTCTTCAGAGCAGCTTTAGGGGCAGAATGGTTGGTGTTGCCACGTATCTGCCTCTTTGTGAATTGTTGATTGATCCACTGCTATTCACGGAATCGTGCAGAACCACAAAAAGGTTGAGCTGGAAGATCTCACAGGTCCAGCCCCTTCCTCTGGGCTACTTTTAGTGTTAGAGAATCACTCTCTATGGAAATACTCCTTACTGTTTGTGGTGATGCAATTATATTTTAGTTGACCATGTATTAGTATAGTCAGCAGCCATTCCAGTGTGCTGTTTTTTTCTCACGCTGTATACTTCTGTTTTCCAGTTTCCCCCTTCTAAAGCCTTTCTGTGCAGTCAGTGGTTAGCTGTACTTAATAACAGTATCACTTGCCAGCATTTACAAAATCTCTTTTTGATTCAGAGCTCAGTGACATCATTGGAGAACTAGTTTGCTGTCTGCCTGTTCACATTAATTTTTTCTTTTCCGATCATTATTTTTATTCATCATTAGAAAGGGAAATTTTTTAGTCTCCCATTTTTCTTCCCACACTACTCAGTTTGTATAACAACTTGAAAACATTGCAGAATTCTGTTGTGTTTTATTCTAGCGAGCCCATTTACTAAACAACTTGAGTTAATGAAGAAATTGCTCATCTGATCCCTCCTTTCACATCCTGAATAATTTCACTTTAGCAGAAGAGGTGGACTTGAAAAATCTCCCAGACTACCAAGTTTATTTGAGTTAATAATGTGCAGTATTACAACCTGAAGGCAGAGCAGAATCGACTTTAACAAGGGCGTGAGGCAGTGAATTAATAAAATATATCAAAATGTTATGAATATTCATTAGCTTTCAAGAATGTGCAGGGCTATTAAAAATGAATTCAATTAATGGCATCAGGGAAAAAAGCTGCTGCACACCATTTAGGACTGTGTAAAACAGGTCATTTGGCTTCCCCCCTCATTTTGATAGTTTGATAGATTATTATCATACTTTTGGGTCACTGTTTTTCTCTGACATGTCAGAGCAGAAGAGCTGGACAGCAGTTGGAAGAGGTGAGTTGTGCTGCTACATTTCCCTTAGGCTTGGAATTAGGCCTGTAACTCTTCATAAAATCTTTTTAAAAGTGGAGCTAGCACAAAGATTACCCAACAGTGAGAGGACAAAAGCAAATACTTGTCATCAACTGTATGTAATTTTGCTTCCAGGCGCATCCCATTGAGTATCCTTTTGAAGTGAGAGACGCTTTTGGCTAGCATCCTTCATTTAGAACATCCAAGTTTTGGCAAGTTCTCTTGGTCAAGCAGATTCCAGCAATTTCTGCCTCTCTTTTCTTGCCTTGTCCTCCAAGATGGACTAATTTAATCTAAATATTCTCAACTCGCTGCAAAAATATCTTTTTTTTTTTGCCTTTGAGGTCATCAATAAAGCAGGATAAAAAATTCACCATTCTTTCTTTTCATTTCAGAAAAGAGCTTCCTCTGTTTTCTGTTCTGTGTTATATTGTATTTTAGCCATTTGATATTTTCATGATAGATTATTTCATTTGCTTTCATGATCTCACAGAGCAGCTGACATCAAAGGTGCAGCTCGTGACTGAAATAACCACGTTATGCATATAGAGAAATACAACCTCCTATTTGAGATGGCAAACCAGTCCCTTGGTAAATGGTAAATTTAGACAGTTATATTTGATGGAGACTACAAGTTTTAATTTGGGTATAGGCAATGGAAATAGAGGCACCTCCAGAAGCAGTGCACAGACCCAATGTCTTGGGTTCTCAGAACACTCGAAAGATATTTACTGGTGAGAGCCAAACCAGGCTCTTGAAATTTATTGCTGCTTGTTTTTTTCTTTTCCAGGTGGTCGTTCGGAGTTCTGCTCTGGGAGATTGTAACTTTGGGAGGCAATCCCTACCCAGGTATTGCTCCTGAAAGACTCTTTAACCTCCTAAAAACAGGCTATAGAATGGAGAGACCAGAAAACTGCAGTGAAGAAATGTAAGTAGTTTTTGATTTGATTAGTTTCAGAAAACATTCCTGGAGTTGAAAAAGTAAATAAAATAAATAATACTTCTGAATAAGTAAATAAAAAGTTTGAATAAATACCACAGAAATATTTTTCTGTCTGTCTCAGAAGTAGAATCAAAATAAGTACTACTCAAAAGAATGTACTGAAATGAACAGTAAAACACAGGAGAAGAATTACCAGCCAAATGGCTGCAGCTACATCCAAAATATTTGTGGGCTACTGAATAACACATTTTGCCAGTCAATGGAAACAATTTGAGTATTCTTAGCAAATACATTTGAATATTCAAGCTTGGTGTGAGAATGAGAATTTCATGGATAGCTGAAACACTGAATAAAATGGGCTTGGTTTTGGTACATTTTTGCAAAAACATGGACGTTCTGTCCACAGTTGTTATTGTCCTGTTGTTATTAATTGTCTTGGCATTACACAGGAGAAAAGACACCCCGGAATCTTTACCCTTGAAGACATACATTTTCTGTGACTTGGTTAGCCCAGTGTAATTCCTTTTCTGTTTGGAGACAATTTGTGCTGTTATCTGTTTATTTATTAAAACACTCAGTGTGAAATATCTACTCTTCCAGCTTCTTCCACAGCATTTGGAAATGAGACATGATTTTATGTTTGGCTTGCTGGTCAGGCTTATTACTTGTTAGACAATTAACAGCCTGTAATCACTATGGTGTTTCCCTTGACTTATTTTTAATATGAAGGATGCTTTGGTCACATCTAGGCTAAGAAAATACAGTATAATAATTATCATTTTTGTCTGTATACTGTACATGGTCAAAAACTATTAAGGATTTCTAAATTAGGGGCAGAATAAGTTTACAAGTTTCACTTGCTATATCCTCCAACAAGTATTTTTTGTTGATTTGTCCCATCTCAGCAGGGAATAAGACCTCTTTTCTCCAATATATATTACAACATTGATGATGCTTAGGTTAGGCAAGCTGACCATGTCTGAAGTTTTTTTTTTCTCTTCAAGCCGTGGTTTTCTGACTAGTTTAGATATTTGGGGTTTACTCAGAATTTTTTCTGACAATCTTTTAGAGCCCTTTGAGGAATCATTTCTTAAAATGCATTCTCTGCCTTATCCAAGTAAGAGTCGTCAAGTAAGAGAAAGATCATGAGTGAGGGAAAAAACAGTGTTCTTCAAGAGCTTACTGTAGCGCTTGTAGCCAATTACTTCCTCAATTTGAACAGTTTCCTAACTGGATTGCTTAGCCTTGAAAACAGGAATGGCAGATTGGGTTGGAGAGTTACGCTTCTGAAGCCTAGAATAAAAATAGATGACAAAATAACAATAATATAAGCCATCAAAAGAGTGTTAATTTGTATCAGTAGTCTTAGGTATGGTATATCCTCAAGGCTTCACCTTGAAGCAAAGTTTATAGACAAAGTTAAGTATTTAAACAAGTGAAGAAGATAAACGTTTTGGAGAATTTGTTTCTGTGAGGACAGTCTCAGCCTTCTGTGTACAGCTAAACCACCTCTTCCCTTCCACTGCAGTGCATTGGCAGTGAAACTCAGCTTTTTGACATAAAAGCTCTTTTCCATATTTTGAGATTATATACAAATGTCTTCCAAGTCATATGTAAGCAAAATTAATTTGCAGTCTGCCATGCTGCCTACATGTGAGATAGTCCTCTGAGAAGGTCATTTAAATTCATAAATACTCACAAAAATAGAAGCCCATTCTTGTGATGTCAGTTGTTAATTCAAGAGAACATTTAACAGAAAACACAACATAAAGAGATTGATGTAAATTGAGTAGCCTTCATGTTAGAGCTGTATTTAAATGATTTGAGCAAAATCCTGACCCACTTACAAATAATTTTTTTTCATCTGGTGGCGGATCACAGGTACAACCTGATGCTGCGCTGCTGGAAGCAAGAACCAGATAAAAGACCAACATTTGCTGAGATCAGCAAGGAGCTAGAGAAAATGATGGTGAAGAGTAGGGTAAGTGTGAGCAAGCATGAGGTTCTGTAACCTTTTCTGATCATCCAAATTCAAATGTACAGAATTAATGATCTGCTTTTTTCTTAATACTAACAATTACTCTTCAGCAAGTTTTAAAGCATTTAAATGCCTCATTTCTTTCAAATGCATCCAGACTTTTGAAAGTTGTTCTACCTCATAGAATGGCTTTGGTAACTTCAGCCTTACGATCACCATGTCTAATGACAAAGCTGGACTGTATAGGCTGGCAAATTTCCTGGCTTGTTCGGCATAATTAAAAGCAAAGCCAATCCAAAACAGAGCTAGAAAAAAATTTAGTTATTTTTCTCTTGCCCTTGCAAATGGAGAAAAATAAAAAACAAAATCAATTTACAAATTTGGATAGCTTTATCTTTTTAAAGTTAATATTCAGTAAATTTTCGAAGGAAAAAAAAAGTTTTGAAAGGAAAAATTGTATTTGTTGTATGTTCAGAGGCATGGGTATAAACCAGTAAAGTTTTCTGGTTAATCTAAATAATTGCTTTTATAGCAGCGAAAGCTTTATTTGGCAATACTTACACAGCTCTAATTTTCTGTGTAATCATGTAAAAGGTTTTGTAAAATGATGAGGTTACCTGAGTACCTCTCTTTCTAGCATATATGTGAATAGGACACAGACATATATAATGCATAGCAGCCCATAGGCTTATTGGTTCTGCTACCGATGAGCTGAATTAAGTAAGGGAAATACATAAAGGTGCCATACTTGCAGAAAAGGAGAGCCTAGCCTGGTGTAGGAATACTATCAGAGGTGCATGTGTAGCCTTTACACCCAAGCAACAAGACTGCCATTTACTTTAACCCAGCTTTTTATGCGTTCATTTCTTAGGACTACTTAGATCTTGCGGCTTCCACCCCTTCTGATTCCTTGCTTTATGATGATGGGCTCTCAGAAGAGGAGACACCTCTCGTGGACTGTAATAATGCTCCCCTCCCTCGAACCCTTCCTTCCACATGGATTGAAAACAAACTCTATGGTAGAATTTCACATGCATTTACTAGATTCTAGCAACACAAAAAAAAAAAAAAAAAAAAAAAAGATTTCTCTTCTGCACTGTTGTCAGACTCTGTAACCCCATTACAGTGTTTCTTGTCTGAACGAAGCCAATCAAAATTTGCTTGGAAGCTTCTTTTGGGCTTTTTTGTTTGTTTGTTTGTTTGTTTTTCTTTTGGTAAATGTCAAAGTCTGCATCAGGATCATCCTTTAGTCATTTTGCAGCTGTGTTTAAAATAAACATTTTTAAAAGGATGTGAAAATAAGTAAAATGACTAGATATCATACAATAAAATATAAAGATCAGGGAAGTAATCTCAGGGGAAATATAAAATGCTGATGAGTATCTAATTCTACTATCCTGTTTGGGAGGGAACTAAGAACATTTCAAGTATGTTAGATTCTGCACCTCTGATTTAAGCAATAGACTTTTTTTTATATCACTTTTTGTCACAGCTAAATGATAAAACCCATCTGCAGTGTTTTTTACTTTATCAAGATGGATTTCTAAATTTCAGCTGCTGTTAACGCATTCTGGATCCGTAAGCTGCAATGTCTATTTAATGTGTCATAGAAATCAGAGTACTATATACGGAAGGTACAAATGCTGTATATAATTACTATATACAGACTAAATCAACATGTAAAGTCCTTTGAAAAGTGAATTGATAATGGGCATTTTGAAAGAACTCAGCTGTTTTCACGTCCTTTGGTTTATTATGCAAATGTTGGTACTAAATTATGATTGAAGGATGTAGCAAGTGTTTTTAAAAAGAACATATGCTTTCATATTGTGATGGTGAGATGGACAGTAAAAATGGTTCTTGCCAAAACTCCTACATTTTGTCTCCTGATTAAATATTCTACATGTTTTTAGACATATACTCACATTATAGATTTTTTAAAATCATTCTTCAAGTGGTATGACTTTTGAAAAGCTTAAAACTTACCATACATACCTGGCTTTGGGCCTGTTATTAATGCATACCCCAGCTGTAATTTTCTTTAATAGGTTTCCCCCAGCTCACGTTCACTTTGGGACATTCACTCAGTGGCCAGATTGTAAAAAGAACGCAGTAACAGAAAAATCTGCCACTGAGATTGATGGCAGATGCTGAATGCATAATAAGCAACAAGCAGATTTCTGTTTTTGCCAATCTCGACCCTGGTGTAGGTGTCTCCTTGCACGGCGGGGTCAACACGGTGCTAAGCACTCTGTTTCCAATGTGGTGGTCCCTTGTGCCTCACCTGAGGAGCATTACTGGACTCAGTGCAAATAATGACATTCTTGAAATACATGCTTAAACGCTGAATCAAGACGAGTGCTCAGGACTTTGTTGGACTTGACAAAGTTGTGCTCCTGGGATTTTCTAAAATTAAGCAGGAGATCCCTGCTGAGGGGATGAGAGTATCTCCAAAATCTCATTCAAGCCAAAGGAAAGGTAACTGTTTAAGTAAGTGGAAATAATCTATCATTGGAATGAACTTTGGATCCTGTCCCAAATAGGTTTATCAATTCTCGGAGCACTTCCTGTACAGCAAGAACTTTCTCTGGCAAAGCAATATATTGCTACACGATCACTAAAAAAGAAATTTATGGAAAAGCTTGAGTCTTATCAGAAGAAAAATTATTAGCTTTTACTATGCACGTGTGCAAGCGCACCTTTTTTTTTTTTAATCAAGAAAGCACTTTATTTTTTTCAGGATTTTGTCTACATCTGAATTTATGCTTCAGGGATTTTGAAACATCATTTACACGAATTGATTTGGGACAAAATCCAGTGGACTGGCTTAAAATATTGAAGGGAGTTTTGCCAAGGGCCTTACTGTCTGCACATGAAGTTATGGTTCTTCAGTGCAGAAAAAATTATCTGTTTTCATTTTTAGGCATGTCATACCCGAACTGGCCTGAGGAGAGTCCCGTTCCACTCACAAGATTCGATGGCACTAACTCTGTGTTTTCAAGATATGCAAATGATAGTGTTTATGCTAACTGGATGGTTTCACACTCAGCGGCAAAATTTGTGGACAAGTTTGATAGCTAAAATTTTCTTTGTGAAAGGTAATGGACTCATGAGGGGAACAAACATGCAAAGAATGGAAAGTCCATTGGCTCGTTCTTTGTACAGTCAACAACCTTTAGATTGGCAAACTTTTATTGGTAGTTTTTAAAGTGTGTTATTAATGATGAAAGCTATAATTGGTGATTTCCCCTTTCAGAAAGCATATCAAGCTGGATAAGAGTTGTAGTTCCAGTACTTCTTTTTAGATTGCCACTTCGCATAGGGTTCCATTTGCCAACTTCTTAGTGCAAATGGCTCTGCACTTCATTCTCACAGTTTTTTAGATTAACCATCCTGTTTTACAACCTTATTGGATGGGAAAATGTACTTGAACTGCTACTTTTATAGTGGCTGTTTGCATACGACCACTTGATCTAAGTAGGAAGCACAAATATATGGAAGGGAGGGGGGAAATACGCTCCCAAGCTATCAGATGAAAAGGGTTACAGTGATGTTGGCACTAATGAAGCCTGTATCTTGGTTTAGAAGCAAACATTAAGTAACTCAGTAGAGCACTTGAGATTGAACATTTGAAGTCTTGTAAAATGTATTGTCTTGTCTTAATGAGAAGAGAGTTTGTTTTATTAGTCTTAATTGCTCTTACCTTTAGCACAATGGAGATAAGTTTAATACAAGATATGCTGTATAGGCCGATGGCAATCAAGAGTGTGCATCTGACACGATTTATTTTCCATCATATACATCTTACTAATGTTAAAACGTATGACCTTGTACAATCACAGTTCCTTTTACGAGTTCCATTTGGACTGTATAGGAATTTTTAGTCTGAATTAAAGAGATTTTGTTTGCAGTCATGTTCAGTGGGTTGGAGTCCTCCTCTCAGCTCAGAATTGGATACACTGCCATGCACAGAACACTGCCGTGACATAGCTCCAAGTAAACCAATTATCTCAAAAGTTATGAGTGAGCAACACTTGCACAGTAAAAGTGGTCTATTACTCTGCTGTTAATGAACCCATACCAAGAAAATGTCATCTGGATTTGTTGAGGTGAAATATAAAAATGTGTGCCTACAACACTGACTTGATATTTAGGAGACTGGTCTGACTATGGGTCATGTGTTCTATGTGGAAGAGTAAATGATCAGCACTATTTTTGTCTTTATTTGTAATCTGATATGGTTAAAGATAACTTTTGTTTTGCTACAAATGTTGGGATGTGAATCCCGAGTGACTCGTTGTTAACGTTGTGATGATTATTCTAAATAATCCAATTCTACCAAAGCTTGCTCCAATTTAGCTGTTTCCAGATGTTGTTTTGTGTACAAACTTTATGTTTCCATTAAAGTCTGTGATTTCAGAAACGAGAGTCAGACTGCCAAAACCCTAACGCAGATTTTTATCTTGCAAAAACTGTGATATAAAGTGCTGTGCAAGAATTTAAACAACTCCACTTTTAGGTGTCATATTCTGCCCTGACTTTGGACAAGCGTTAAGCAGAGTGACTTTCTCTTCATACTGCCAGTTAGTGGGCTTGTGCACTCATGCACTGCCAGGAGGTATAGCTTATATATACACAGGGGGTTCAGTTAGGGTATAATGGTGATTTTCCCTGGCACAGCACCACTCAGAACACTGTCAGCACAGATATTTTTAGTATAAATGGCACTGAACGTTAAGCCCATTATATGGGCTTCTTTGTTTTTCTATGAGAGATCTGTGGGGAAGAAGGAAAAAAAGTGGCGTTTCTGATAACTTTTTGTTTTGTCTGGTGCTTTTCACATTTTTTTATGCCTGGAAATGGGAATTCTTTATTAGCCTAAGCAACTAAGAGGTTTTTTTGTTTGCTTGTTTGTTTTTTTAATTAATTAAGAACTTGTATTTATCAGCTATCTCCAGCAAAATGGTATTCAGCTGGGACATGTGAAGCTACGTTGCTCTACAGTATACAGTGCTCTACAGTATACAGTGAGATAATTAAGAAGTAACAGTGGATACAGAAAGTGGTGACTATTTTTGAGCTCTAGCGTAAGACACAGTTGTTTGAACCATTAATTCCTGTGAAAAGTTTCACTAAAAGTAGACATAAATTCCACACATAAAATACACGGGTCATAGTTGTGAGACATAAATATCTTCACTAAGTGCATTACTACATGATTCTGAACAAGTATTCCCCAGTCCAAATAATTTTGACTTGAATGTTGTCAAGAAATAATTACTACATTCAAGTATTTGTAACATGAAATAATTTGATGGATTCTTATGTCTTATCTGTACACATATTTTTTGCAAATGTTTCCCTTGAAGTGTTTCCTATTTGTGTTGTATTTCTGCAAGACAGAAAGGTGAGGATTTTGTTTTGGTTCCCAACTAAGTAAGTAAATATACTTCCCACATGGGGAAAAAAGGGATATGCAGATGATAATTCCATCAGTGCCAGAAATACTCAGGTACTTGGCTTCTCTGAGCAATGTGAACTCAAAGGGAACAAATGACTCATCTAAAATACAGGTTAGAAGGAATATTTCTAAAAATTTCTGCCAGCTTTTTCTAAAGACCAGCTGAACTGACGTGGTTCACCTGGCCTGTGCTTTGAGTTGGGGCAGGTGGGGAAAAGGGTGAATCTCATGTGCCCTTTCAGTAAGCACAAGGAAATTGTCCTAGTGTTCAATTCTACACTTTTCCAGAGTACACAGGAAAAAAAAAAAAAAAGAAAAAACAACAAAAAAAACCAGAACAAACAAAATTGCTAATAATTTTGAAATTCCGCTTCTAAATTCAGTCCATCTGAAAGCCCTGTATCTCTTTACTGCAGCTACACCTACAGTTTTATAATAAAGTAGACACAAATACGAATTTTAGCAGCATCACTTCTTAGGTATGAATAGGCAGCAAGCCCCATAAACAAGGGATGATAGAACCACAAAATGGTGTGGGATGGAGCAGGCCTGGAAGATCTTCTGTTCCCAGCTCTCACACCATGGGTAAGGGCACATCCCACCAGAGCAGGTGCCCAACAACTTGGCCCTGAACGCCTCCGGGCACCCACAGTCTCTCTGGGAAGGTGTGCCAGTGCCTCACTGCTCTCTGAGTGAAGAATTTCCTCCTCATTGCTAAGCTCAATCTCCTCTTTTTCAGTTTAAAGCCACTGCCCTTGTCCTATCACTATCTGCCCATATAAAAAGTTGGTTCCTCTCCTGTTTATAAGCTCCCTTCAAGTACTGGAAGGCTGCAGTGAGGTTCCCCAGAGCCTTCAGGCTGAACGAGCCCATCTCCCTCAGCCCTTCTTCATAGGAGAGGTGCTCCATACCTCTGAGCATCCTCATGGCATGAGCATCCTCCTCTAAGATGAATGAATTGACTTTCCATTCTGATAAAAATAACACTATCATATTCTGAAGTTGTACAGAAGTATTTAAAATATTAATTAGAAAACCTAAGTGGCCAGCTGTTCAATTCTGTGGCATTTGACTTCATAAACTAAGTACTCCCCTGAAGTTAGTGGAATCATTCATAAATAAATTATTAATAAATACTTGCTGTATTTAAACATTCCAATGCTTTGCTAGCAAATTGGTACTACAGGCCAATAGGAAATGGTATGAACGATTTAAGAGTCACTATTTCCAAGGTGACATACAAATGAAGCATAAAGTTAGAGATGTGTGCGAGCTGGGAAAAAAGTGTCAATTTCTCACCCTCTATGCAAGATATTGTTATTAAGATATAATTATTTCCTATCTTCAGCAATGTGTTTGCATTTCTCAAAAAGAAAAATAGAGCCGCCCTGCTGGAAAACACATCCTTTGGAGTGGCATGGAGTTATCACATATTTCAAAATCTGTAAGTGGAGGACAGTAGAAAATGTACATAATCACAGCTAGAGCCCTAATTTCAGATTTACGTGTGCAGAATGATTCATTATTGAACACTGCAGGGACGTGATTTAAAGTTTTTCACAACACTGGTGCCAAAAGTAGTTGTGAAATTACCATCTACCATATTAGCACTACACTTCTTGGACAAGGGGTCAACAGATGACTTCAGAGAACACTTGTGTGTAGTCTCTCCCTTTTTCCTTTCTGCAGTCACTGCACTACTCCCTTTTTTGGAGAGGAACAAGAACTTACCCACAGGAGAGGCTTCCATATACTGAAGACTGCAGGGATGGAAAGATCTGAGATGGTGCCAAGAGAGGGAGCCTTTAACTCACACTGTGCAGACTGGGTTCCCCAACTCTAAGCACAAGCTGACAAGCCTCTGGCTGGGCAGAGGACAGAAGGCAGGCACAGAGGCACAGCAGGACCTGCCAGAAGACATTACTGGCTCAGGGCTGGCAGGGAAGAATAAGTAGAAAGCATCCAGTGTAACAAAAGCAATCTGACCTTTCATAGAACTCATAGAATTGCTCGTGTTGGAAAGGACCTCAAGGATCATGAACCTCCAATCCCTCTGCCTCAGGCAGGGCCACCAACCTCCCCATTTAATACCAGACCAGGCTGCCCAGAGCCCCATCCAACCTGGCCTTGAACACCTCCAGGCACGGGGCACCCACAGCCTCTCTGGGCAGCTGTTCCAGCACCTCACCACTCTCATAGTAAAGAACTTCCCCCTGATATCCAACTGATTTCTTAGAGAAGAAGTGGTGGGATCGTAGGAACTGAAATACACTGGTTGTTGGAACATATTAAATATTGTATACTTTTCAGTTTAAGTTTCAGCAAACAATGAAGCTTCTCTTGGATTATTCCATGAAGTAAACCACTGTTTGTATCTGGAGATGGTACAGAGGTCCCGGTGAGCAAGGAAATTAATTACAGGTACTTTCTGATGGTGAGATAGGGTTAGTACTTCGTTCACATAGTATTGTTGGTGAGCAGCACTGGTGCTTGTATACATTCAGAACTGTGATGTTATTAGGAAAACAAAACTCTCCTAACTTCTGTGGGGTTGCAGCCAACATCTCCTCCCACAGGAAGCTACAGCTATAGGAAGCCCTTGACAGTTCCCGCAGCTCACCCATCTGCTCCTGTGACACCAAAAGGGCAATTACCACTAGCCAGAAACGTTTGGGTTTTTAATTTTAACAAATTCCCATCAACAAAAGGAAGGTTTCGAAATGCCAAAATAAACCTTCTGCATCAGAGATCTATTGGAACAGGTTGCCCAAGGAGGTTGTGGATGCCCCATCCCTGGAGGCATTCAAGGCCAGGCTGGATGTCGCTCTGGGCAGCCTGGTCTGCTGTGTTGGCGACCCTGCACATAGCAGGGGGTTGGAACCAGATGAGCATTGTGGTCCTTTTCAACCCAGGCCATTCTACGTGAGCCTCAGAGTTACAAACCAGATGCTCAGCTGCAAAAGAGATATACATATGTAAATGTTATACATAAACATCACACACAGCATGTGTGTATACGTATGTATATATATATACATATACATATATATACATATATATATATATACACACACACTTTTTTTTTATGTGTATGCAGCTTCAAGAAACCGCCAGCAAGATGCAAGCAGAGTTCATTCTTTGCCAAGACTTTTTTTTGCCCAGGAGTGTCAGTGATTGATGTGACAGTGGGAAACAAGAATCATTCTTTCTACTACAGGGTATAAATAATTGAGAGAGAGATTCTAGCCTTGAGATAGGAAACCATTCAACCACTCAACTGGTTTTTCTCTGCAGGGAGACTTTCTCAGCAGTAGCCTAGCCCAGACATAGCAAATAGAAATGTATCAAGTTTATATTGATTATAACATAATTATTTAGTAAAATAAGCTAAATAAATACATACAAATAAAAAATTACTCTTGGAAATCTCACCTGGTGGTGTTCTTCCAGGATTATTTGTTAAAATGAATTGTGACAGTTTGCAAAATACTGAGCAGAAACAGGTGCTGTGGACTTTTTTTTTTTTCAAAACACTGCTGAGAATATTTTAACTAAATATTTAATATTTGTGGTGAAATATCTTTCTCACCCTTTTTACACACACAGTAATAAAGTAAGTAGCCAAACTGAGCGAGTTGTTATGAAAGGCAACTTTTTAACCATATAGCAATAATGGTTATTGAATCACTTTGAGTTGTTTAATGGATTCCGTTTCAAATTCTGAAATTTGAAAGAAGCGTTCTGAAAAGCTAGGCCTTAAATCAGAGATTAACTGTAAAAGTTACCATTTCAAACAACAGCCATGTACAAATTAGGCAACGCATAACAGAAGTCCGCTTACAGCAGTATCAGACCTTGCAATGCACTGATATGAATAGCACGTATTATCTTTTTTGCTGTAAAAGAAATCAAAAATACAATGAAGACTCATCATAAATGGTGTGAGCATGGATCACAGG